AAAATATTAGAAGTAACTTAGTACAAATGATGCCAGGTCAATAAAAAAAACGTATATATACAAAAGATGACAGAGTATATTGACAATAGAAAATAAAAAAAATAAAATAATTATAACCATAAATTCAAATGAAATAAATTCACATTTGAAAGCAAAACAGTACCGACATTGATATATCATGTGTGTATAATTTAGGTAGTGCACCCTTGGCATCAGATAAAGTTTAAAGTGAATACCTTTATATCTAATAATTAAATCAATAAAAAGCTTTATTGTTTAAAAGTCACATATGAATAGTGTATCTTTTTTGACCAGTAACATATGAATAGTTTTATTATTATTATTATTATTATTATTATTATTATTATTATTATTTCGGCCTGAAATATGATTAGCGTATCTTGCTATATGAGATTTGCACGCAATGTATGAGGATCACGATCCAGTTTGCAATTTATAAGCTAAGAAGAGCTAGCGTGGTTCATTTTTCAAAGTTTGTGTTTATTTAGCAATATAAGCATGGGCTTTATTTAGTTTATTTTAAAAAATAATATTATAAAAAATTAGCTTATTTTTTAAATTTTGCTGTTATCCATCCCTAATACTTACTCTTTTTATTTAAAAATATAAGATATTTTTAATCAAATATCATTTCTCAATAAAGTAGTTAGTTATTTTCTAACTAACCATATCTTTTTATATTTATCCTCATTAAATACCTTATAATAAATATAAAGTTATTATCAAAAAAGATATTTTTTTTAAAAAAATAATAATTATATGTTAAAAGATTAATCATCAGAATTTTTAAAAAATATTTTATATTTTTAAATAAAAAGAGTATATTTTTCCATGTATAACTACTTAACGAGCGTTAACCAACCCAGCAAAAGGAAGAAAAATATGTTTCTTAAAATTAGAAAATATTCTACATTTAGATCAACAATCGTCTCTGATTGAAAGCCAATCAATCAAGAGTTCAAAGGCATGCTATCAATGATGTGGGGCCCACTAAAAAGGTGCAATGAAATATATGCAAATCTTTTGTGGAAAAAAGAGTCCATCCGAATTCCCAATCATTAAAATTAAAACTAATCCGCAAAGTAACATCTTCGCCTGCCAATTAATCAAACAAAACAAAGCAAAATCCACTATGGTACAGTCCTAGCAGTTGCTAGCTGACATAATAACTTATGACGTTGGAATAAATTTGTTTAACAAGAACAATTACATAGCTCCTTCTTGGCCAATGGCTATATAACATATATACTCGTTCTATTTAAAAATATAAAATATTTTAATTAAATTTTATTTTTAATAAAATAATTAATTTTTCTATTAAAAAATATAAAATATTTTAACTGAATCTCACTTCAAAAAAGTAGTTATTTATCTTTAAAATAATCCTATCTTTTTATATTTACTCATATTTAATAGGACGTTTCATTTTAAAATAAATATAAAGTAATTTATTCAATAGGGATATTTTAAAAAATAATAATAATTGTACCTTAAAATATTAAAAATGTTTTACGTTTTTTTAATAAAGGAAATACTTGTCTTCAAATTAATCTTATTTTTTCATATTTATAACCTCTATTTAATAGAACGTTTCACTCTAAAATAAATATAAAGTAATTTATTAAGTAGGGATACTTTTAAAAAAAGATAATGATTATATTTTTAAAAAAATAAAAATATTTTATATTTTTAAATATTTAACTTTTAAAAAAATATTTTATATTTTTAACATATTTTTTAAGCAGAAGGAGTGAGTTCATGTTGCTGTAAAATTTACCCTGATTTCGAGACGCAGGTTTTGTTCCAATGATTTTCTCCATTTTCTATTGAACTATGTCACTAATCATTATGTTTCCACTTTTTAGGACGACATCAAAACCCATTTAAAACATATCTAAAATACTCATAATGAGGGACCGGGTCGTGGCACCTGATTTTTTTTAATTTTTTTTAATAAAATATGAAGAGTTATATATTTTTAATCTCTTAAATTAATATATTATAAAAATGATGAAATATTATAAAAAATTTTATTTTAATTTTATATATAAATTTTTATGCATATATAATGCAAACATTTTAGTATCTTGAAGTTAAAGATATAATTGGCATATAATTTATTTATATTCAACAAGATAATGTTACATATTCTCTTAAAGTATTGATATCATTTATTTTTATTTTTATTTTATATTTAATAAAAGAAACTATAAGAATTATTATTAATAAACTTTGTCAAGCATTGCAAAGTTCATTAGTAACAAGTGAAATAATTAAATAATAAATTTAATAAACAAGTAATAAATCTTCTTAAGTTAAACACAATGATGCATTTAAATTATTTAATTATCATAAGAAAGATAAAATTTTCACTAATTTAATGATAATTTATATTAAGAATAAAATTGTTAAAAAATTTATCATAAACATAATAATTAATTATTTTTATGCTATGCAAAATTGATAAATAAAACTTAAAAAATGAAAATACGTATATATTCTTTTATATATTTATAAAATTGAATATAAATATATACATTAAAATATTGATATTATGTCAGTGATATATATAACTTTTTTTTTATTATTATATATATTTTATCATCTCAGCCTTTTTTAATAAAATTTTTTGGCTCCATCTTGCTCATATAACTTCTAATCTCCAATTATTTTATTTTTAAAATATAACTTCTAATCTAATATTTTATACGAGTTATTTAGAACCAAGCTTTGCCATTTTTGACCCAGATTATTGGCTTGTTTGGGTAACCTTTTAAAGTATATTTAAATCATATTTGAGAGACATTTTTTTTTAAATCCAACGAACAGTTAAATTCTCTTAATGGCTTTTGGTAAATGTAAATTGAAAACCAAATTCACCGTACTTCTCTAAGATTAGAAGAATATCAGAGTTGATTTTTATAATACTAGGCCAAAGCTTTCTTCCTTTTTCATAAATCGATGCCCATGAATCTGTTTAAAGATGGCTTCTGAATTTTCTACGTATGATCACAAGGAGATGAATTTCCCCGCTATTCATTGAAGCTCGAAGATTGCGTGTTTCCACATTCAAAACGCACAACACAACGCTGTTTCAGGAAGAAAAATGTGTGATTCCTCGAGTCTTTGGATATATCTCATGGGATGAAGACATGATGTGCAATTAAGGAGCCCCACGTTCTGTGATAGGATAGGAAAGGGAAAGAAGGACTGAAATTGAATTATGTGAAATTCCCGAGAGGGTAATAAATGGGAAGATCAGAGGAGAATCTGGGGACTGGAGTGACATTACGAGAGATCCAACATTAAATTCTGAAATCTGGAACCAAATCAAGAATCACTATTTTGTTTAATAGGAAAAGTGTTTGTTGCAGTTTGGCAAGACTCTCATCATTGTTTCCGCTTTCACTGTACCCAACGTTTCCATTTAATTTCGCCACCTCACTTTCATTTATTTAACTCCATGCTTTGCTGTAACAAGCCACCCCTGCCCTTTCTTTAATTCATGTCCTCAAAGCAGTCAACCACCTTGAACACCATAAAGCGCTTTCAATTTTTCTCTACACTTTAACATTTTCTAAAGATTCCCAGCTATAACGTTTTTTATACAGAAAAAACATCTCTCGCTTACTCCCTCCACCCTTATATGCAAAGTTTTTTTCCCCCAAATGTTTCACGGATACCAACAAAAATTTGTTACTCAATTAAAAAGTTACTCTTTTGAATCAAAATATAAAATATTGACAATTAATTCACAACTTTAAAAATAAGTTAGTTAAAACATTAACTTTTTTAAAAAAATTTATATCATTTCAATTATACCTTTATTAAATATTATATATAAGAATTTTGATAATAATAATTAAAATTTTAATTCATTATTTTTTAAAAAGAATAATACATGAAATAGGGGTATAGTTAAAAAAATAATTATAAAAATTACCCAATACCCTTATATTTTAAACTAAGCAAGGCTTCTTAAAGATATTTTATGTTTTGGTTTAGAAGGAGTATAAAAATATGTCAATATTTCATTTTTGCCCCCATTCATTAAAAGCATAATTAAAGACTTATTTTCAAATCATAATCATTCTTTTATAATTTTCAAGAGACTAAAGGGTAAAACAATCCAATTGTTAAAAAATATAACAAAACTTCTTGCTCTCCAGGATTCAAAATATAAACGTTGTCTTTCAACTAATCTTGATTCAAATATAAACCTAGTATTTATATAAAAAATTCTCATTTACCCATTATATTTATTGACATAGATTCTTATATTTGTAAATTTATGACCTCAATCATCATAAATTAAAATTAAAGGTGAAAAAAAAAATTCCATCTACTAAAAAATATAAAGCATTTTTTAAAAGGTTTGATATTAAAAAAATATAAAACATTTTAATTTTGCAAAGTATAATCATTGCTTTTTTTTTCACAAATGCCCTTATTGAGTAAATTATTTTATATTTATTTTAAAATAAAATATCCTATTAAATAAGAATAAATATAAAAAATATAAAATTAGTTTGAAGGCAAAAAATTATTTTAAGAGATAAAATTTAATTAAAGGTACATAATATTTTTAAACGGATAAAGTACATGTTCTCATAAGAATAATAATTTTATTAGTGTGTGAATTATTGCTAAAAGATATTTATATTTTTGAGGGGGAGTATATTATAAAAACTCTAGAAAACATCTTATATAAAAAGACAAAAAGACAAGAGAGTAAACATATATTTATTATAAATTTATGGCACAAATCATTTTCAGCGCAGCAAATTTGTCAAACGTTCGAGAAACTAATCAAATTGGGGAACGGGATCATGCTTTGGGTCTGATGAATCACGCGGGTTGAAGGATTCACGAACTTGGATGCGTTTTCTTTTCTTTAGAAGTAATTGGAAGCATTTATATGGGATTTTAAAGATATATGGATACAACTGTGTCATTACAAGTAGGATTTATAAAAGGACGGTAGAAGGTTCGGCCCAATGATTTATCACAAAGGCCCATCATGCTTGAACATTGATTGGGTCCTAATCTCCAATTTGCTGACACACACGATATGATCCATGTTGGGTTTTCTTATCCAAAGCTATAATACTTTGATCAGTTGCTGGATAACTCTTCTAGAAGACTAGACTAAATAAAAATCTATTCAACCAAGGTATGGGACAGGCATCAATGGAAAACGGAAATAACCCGAACCTTCAAACTTCACAAAATTGATTGCATAATTTGCATTTGGTGCAATCAGATATAACAACATAAAATGGAAGAACATGACTATAAGATGTGGACCCAACACGCAGCAATATTTTTTGGGAAATTTACAACTAGGTTTCACAAAAGAGATTTTATTATCAAAAAATCTTATGAAATTAACAAAATACCCTCAAATCATAAATTCTGCACATTTACACTTTGACAAAGGTTTTTTACAATTACAACTAGACAACAAGCATTTACAACTTATAAAAAAAAAATAAATTTATAATAGTAAGTTGTGAATGTTGCTTTGCCAACATGTAAATGCATAAAATTTAAAATTTAAGAGTATTTTATGAATTTTCAAAACTTTTTAGTAATAAAATCTCTTTTGTGGTATCTAGCTGTATTTTTCCCATACTCTACTTATATCAAGTGTTGAATTGAATGACTAGTCAGGGCTCAAATAAAGTTTAAATGAAAGCTTCAACTAATCAATCCGTACGGCCTATGAAAGCCGAAAGGCGAATAAAATGATACCTTGGCTTCTGCAATTTACATAGATCATCAGAAGGCGCAGCAGTGCAGTAAGCTTTGAGCCGCTGAGGAAAGCTGACTAAGCCGACAGAGGATCCACAGGCATGCTGCCAGAGAGTCATAATGTAACTTTTTCCTCAATATCTACTGTCATTCAAAAGCATTCTCGGACAAAGAGCAGGCAATTATATTCCTCACTTGATCCCGTAACAGCAGCTGGAATTACTGCTCCTGTGTTAGCCAAGAAATTATGAACGAATCACACTCATTGCATAAAGACAATAAGTCAGGGCTACAGTTCGAATCATTCAATATCCTCTTCCAAAATTCAAAAGATAGGCAAGCATTGGATAGAGCAAACATGCAAGAATGGTTTGTTTATGCTGCTCTTTCCAGTGGTAAATAGTGTTTGGCAGACTTGAATGACAAATGGTGAAATTGCCCCTTTACAGTGTAATAACAATTCATTCATTCATTACCTTCACTCCGTCCTTTAACTCCTCCTTTATCAAATCTATCTAAATTGATTATTTGACTTTCCTTTTCTTGATTGATTGCTGGAATTGACATCAACCATGCGATTTTTTTAAATTGATTAGATATGCATCTCTAACCTGAAACTCCTCCCTCTAGAGTGTCAAAACAAAACTTGGATTGCGTTTCTTAATTTTTTTGAAGTCTTTTGTCATCAAATTCTCTACTTGCCATATTCCAATTCTGTGCCTAACTTTTTTTTCTTTTTGAAAGAATTAACCGGAGCCTCAACGTTTTTGCATTCCTATTAAATTATTCAGAGAAATCTTCTCATCTACATTTACCTGCATGCTGTTCAAGAAGAGAATTTCTTTCCTTCACTTACACTAGCGTCTAGGCAACTGAGCTGACATCAAAATCAGCTGACAAAGTTGAATTTTTCTTTAAAAAAACATATTAGGAAGAATACTAGAGAAATCTCACATAAATAGCCAAAATAAGAAGAAGAAAAAAATTGCTGGAATTTGTCAACTCAGGAAAATGGATCTTGATTCTTTTTGGATGTCTGAAGCTGAACCAGCAAAAAGAAGAAAATTTAGTGTATATTTGGTTTTTAATTTGGCAAAAGTAAATTGTTGTAACGAAATTAATATTTAGATAATTTTTTCAAAAGTCAATTTAATGAACTGAAAATTGTTTGGATCATATATAATGAAATATGTTTTTAAATGTATAAGTACCAAAAAGAATGTTGATTTATCATGATTTATAATTTTTGTTATACAAATATAATATATTAGAAATGTTTAAAATGTAACAAAAATTTTACATAACATAAAATTTGATATGTTAAATAATAAAAATTAAAAAAATATAAAGTTTGATATATTGAAAAGATATATACAACAAATAGTTTAGATATTATATCTATATATAATTTATAATTAGTCACTCCAATATATTATTATTTTAATTGTTAAAATATCTAAATACATTTGAATGCAAGCTTCAATATTGTCAATTTCTCATGTTATTTAATTAATATATATATATATAGAGAGAGAGGACTCCGAGATTCAGAAAGAATCAAAAGGCTAAACACAAATAAAAAAAAAATTGAATTTGTCATCCTGCGTGGCATGTTTTTCTGAGGGGTGGCATAGGAAATAATAGAGCAGTCAAATCTCATTCGCATAGGTAGTTGAAAAGCTAGGGAAAGTTAAGTTAGCTGAATGTGGATTGAGAATTATTCTCAAAGCATTTTCAAAACTTACTTTCCTTCCATAATTTTTTAACAAACAACTTTTAATTTTTGGAGAGTGCCAAAAGTACTTCCCAAAAGCTAAAAGCTAATTAACCAAACACACCCTTAACCCAAGACGAATTAGATATTTCTTTTTGAAGGATCAAGTATTGTACTCTGACTGTTGTGATTCAAAGGAAGCAAGGAACTGCTTCCTACGCATATATTGATCATTCAGATACTTTTTTTTTAATGATAACTTGAAACGTTAACCTCCGACAATGCTAACATTCAGAGAGAGCAAAGACAGATGAAACCTGCATTTAAGGGGATGATTCTGCCGGTTCTCGATCATTCTCTTCTTGCTCTTGAGCTGCATCACCCGTCCTTGGAAAGGAATTCCCACAAGTTATAAACAAGAATGTAACGATTGAGTCTGCTTATCCTTAATTCTAATGTCATGTCATTACTTGTTTATAGCATAAACTATTCTAAATGTCAGTTCTCACACAATCAGGAATTGTTTTAATACCGTTGTTCCAAATATTTATTTTCTACAAGTTACTTAAAATATAATAAAGCCAAAAGACAAGTAAAACATATAAGAAGATGCATGCACTCATTGTGAGAACTGGAACCGGATCTAAGTTTACTATAATATCAAGAATGTAGGGTGTGATGCATATCGTTCTTGTTACTTTCCGGGTCCATTGAAACCCTTAAAACAACGCCAGCTATGTGCAAGAGATATCAATAGAAACCATACCTTGCTCGTTCATATTAGATTGAAATTTCAATATATAATACAGCGGGACTGAGTTTTGTCCACACAGGCTCGTAGGCTTTAGAGAGTGAACTTGAATCCAAACTTTTAAATGTAAATTCAAAAGAAGTTAGCAGTTACGAGCCAAAATTTAAATTGCTTTTACCTATTTTCTTCAACCTGCATATCCATTCCAGATGCTTCGTTATGTTGCAAAATCGAACAGAATAACCTTTTGTCCTGGCATAGAAATAAGCATTGTGCTTGAGAACTGACGGAAATAATGAATCCCTAGAGGCAGTGAAGTAACAACTATACAGTAAAATCAAAAAACTTATCCGCTGATTATGCAGACAAGGACAATCTATAAAGCAAAAGAAGAATTTTACAACTACTTTTTCCTTTTGGGGCCATAACAACTACTTGTTCGAGTATACATGTGTTTCTTCAAGTGCTTTGTCTAAAAAATGAGTGAGGGATAGATTTATTTCCAGCACCATGCTTCCCCCAAACACAGTTGTCCACAGAATACACTTGCAAAGTCCTTCAAATAAACTACAAGTATAACAATTAAATCCGCAAGTTGAAATGCTTCATAGAATCCACAACGAGAATGACATGCTGAACATTCAAAATTTTATACCAGAAAAGCTATGAATTATATTTACCTCTTTATTCATATTTCTGACAGTGTCTTTAATCTTCTGTAGTACGAATCTTAAACTTCCAACTTCATACTGTAAAGCCTGCAAAGCATGTTCGGAGAAGTAGGAAAATCTCAAGGATTGACAATTTCAAGGCATAATATTGAGAAGACTTGAATGTGGAACCTCTTTATCTGAAATTAAGTTCTGTATCGCCACGTCCTTTACTGATAAAGTTTTCTGAAGGTGAGGCTGGTTAAGACAAAACTTTGAAGTACGTGGATGAAAGTGTACATTAATTTTCTGGTAATCGGTTCCAATTATTACTCCTTGCAGGTAAGGATATATCATCAATTTGAGCTGAGATATTGTTGCTGAGTTTTCGTGCATCCAGCTTTGCTTCTAGCTCTGAGATGAATTTATCCTTTCTTCTTAACTCATCCTCAATTTTATGCAGTTTATTTCTTGAGTCGGTGATATTATCTGGGACAATGCAAGCTTCCATCTAATAAAACATCGGTGGAATGCGTCTACTAGTTTTCTTAATTCAACATGCATAAGCAGCTATTATTTAAAAAATAATCAATATTTCAAATATTAAGATGTGTCAGTAAGAAATTTAAATTACCGAAAAATGCTTTTTCAAATGTAGAGATCTGATCCATTTTGTTTCTCAAGTCAGCCACTAAACGCAAGAAACATTTAAAAAAGAAAATTATGTGAATAGGCAGTGAAACTGTTATAGTTTGTCTGAGTGCCTTCAAATAAACACAATTATGAATAAGAGTTTTGAAAACTACTTGCCCATTTTCTCTTTTTCAGTGACAAGGCTCTGGACGCTGTCCACAATTTGCTTGATAGAAGACACCTCCTTCTCTATTGAATCGAATAACAATAGGTGGGCGTTTACCTTCTCAGAAAGAATATTGAGCTTTCTATCTTTGGTTTCAATTGAACGTCTCATTTCGGAAGTAGTTTCCTGCCCAACAGCAGAGCAGAATAACAATTAAATTGAGAAAACCAATTGTACCATGCAGCTTCCCCACTAGGCAGAATGCCCTGCATTATGACAGTCACTTTTTGTTGCTCTTGCGCGAAGTGTTGACCTTCATTGTGTTAAACTAGTTTTCAGATGCCAACAATACTATTACTTTTTAAACAAAAAATATACTGTGCATGACTGGGAAGTTGCCACATACGAACCTCGTAAGCAAGGATGAAATTTTCCCTGGACAAAAGTAGGCTTTGTATGGTCTCCTTCAACTCTTTTTGCCGGATTTCAAGCAAAGCATTGTCGTTCTGAAGGTAATTCACCTGCAATGAAAATATTGCATTTAAAACTCCGTATAATCAAATAATTACTAATAGAATACGACTCTGACAACGAAACCTCTAGCGAACTATCACGTTAATTTGAAATATTCAATTAAAAACAAAATGGGAAAAACGAACCCTCCTTTCGAGCTTCTGACGCTCTTCTTTGACTGAAGCTAGCTCGGCTTCCAAGTCCTGTATTTTTCTGTTATGCTCTTCCTCGCTCTGTTTCTGCTTCTGTTTTTGCTCGCTAACGTCACAATCAAGTCGACAGAAAATCAAGATTCGACAAAAAACTACCAATTGGATCAAAATGAAAACCTCGATTCCGTGTTGGTGTTGTTCGGTAGCTGTGCGTTCCCTTTCCTGTAAAACTCTTCAAGTTACTAAATGATCAATTGCGATAGGGTGCAAAGGAAATGGCGAGTTAGGGGTGGAAATTTGTACTCTTAGTTCTCGAACTTCAGTGACAAGATCTTGAAGTCGGAGCTTGAACTTGGACAATTTGAGCAATTCCATTACCATTCCCCTGAATTCCCCTCAGCTCGTTTCAGTTCGCGATTCATTTTCAATGCAATGGCGCCAAATCCAACATCGGTTCCCAAAAAAAAAAAAAAAAGACTGTTCTCTGTATTGGGTATTTGGGTGTTGGTAAAAACAAAAACCGAGAACTTTGGGCCGGAGAATGAAACGACATCGTTACAGTTCGGGGTTCCACCAGCTGTAGAGCCCAACAAATAGATTTTTCTTAAAAAAAATTATTTTGTTATCAAATGGGAACACTGAAACAAAGATGATAAATCGAGACCAGCAGACTCTGAAGTCTCAATAGAAAGGGCAGGTATGTCTTGGGATTCGAGAATGCAAAAAACCTAACTAGGCTTAACAATATATTTAACTCTATTAGATAGTTTTGCAAAAACATGCAACCAATACAGCTCTCTTTGTAAAAACTCGCTTTATCATTTATCAAACATGATAGAATTGTTTACCCAAAAAAAAAAAAACACAATAAAAATGATTTTCATCAAATTCATTTTTCACTTGGATTTCGAGAAGTACAAATATACAATTGAGTTATATATCTCTAAGGTGTTTCATTTATTGTATTTGTTATTTAGTTTACCCTGCATTATTAGATTCTGATTATTTCTGAAGCGGATTTTGACGCGGATATATATAGATTAAAACTTCAACCTTCACATTGATTCTTAAAAACTTTTTTCTTATAATGCTGGGCAAAACACATTTTTGTAAGATTCTTAAAGACGTTAGACGAGCGTTCTTTTAGCCGTTTTGAATTCAAAGTTTATTTAAATTATAGATAGACCTAATCGTTATCCTTAAATAGTCTCATGTGGCCCAAAAAAAAAATTAAAATCCTTACATTGTCTCATACAAGATTTGGTCACTGCAGCAAAATGCAGTATTTTCAACTTAAGAATATTAACTTCTGCAAAATCAAACGTTCGCTTTTCAATTGTTCAAATATTGGCACCCAACGTAGATGATTCGAACTCACTGAATTTATTTAATTAATATTAATAAAACCAGACATGTGAACAAAATAAAAAGAAAAAACACAGCTTTTAGTCCTTGAATTGCGATCTAAACTTGAGTCAAGATTATTATTATTATTATTATTATTATTGTCATAATTTTTTCATTAAAATTCATCATTATAATTATGATGAACTTTAATTAATCAAAATTTGAAGAGTCAACATGTTGCTAATACGAAGAATGATATGACGATGATTTTTAGGTAACGCTGAAGAAAGAGAGGGTGAGAGGGAGCTTTTTTTTTAAGTATAAAGAGTAAGCTCTTTTAATAATAGAGAATATCTCTCATGAGGTGTTAAAAACAATAAGTAAAACTTTCTTCACTAAATTATTGCATACATTAGAATTAGGGTTGGAACTTCTAACCATTTGTTCAAGGGTCTTTCTATTTCAGCATATTTTATAAAAAAATCACTTTTTTAAAAAAAATATTTTATGAGTTTTTATGATGTTTGTTTAAATTTTTTAAAACAATCAAATTTAAAAGATATTTTTTATTATTTTAAGGAGTTGTGTTGACTTTTGAGTATCTACTGAAAATAAGTAGATGTAATAGATGAAAAAAATGTTTCAAAAATACAAAATACGTGAAGATATCATCAAATTTTTAAATAATTAAATAATAAATTATTTTTATAAAACAAAAATTAAGAAAGACATTATAAAATTTAAACATAATTAATTAATAGTTACTTTTTGATTATTAAAACCAACATAAAATAATATCTCCTTTCTATAAAAAAAATTATAAAATAAATATATTTATATAAAATTGCTACACTATCTAAAAGCAACTTATTTCTTAGACTTAAACAAACAAGTCTTAAGTGATGAAAGACTAGCTCTACCACTTAATGCAAATTTTAATTGGTGAGAGGTCGCTTTTTGTTAGTGGAGAAGTGAAAACTTGGAGAAAAGAGGGGTGCGGAGGTAAATGCTAAGAAAATTTAATTTGTTCATTGTCATTGGATATGATTATGCCTTCTTGTCTTCAATAATGTCACTACTCCTGCCTAACACCATTCATCGCTTTCACAAATGGTCCAAATCCACGATTTTCTTTATTTATGTATATATACATTAATTGTTTGGCCTACTTATCAATTCGATAGAATGATAGGCGGCTGAGTTAAAAATTCTCCCTGTTAACAGATTAAATTCTGCTGTATTCATCACTGGTGGAGTTATTTTGTTGATTTATACTTTTAAAATTTTGAACTATTTACCCTTAATTTTAATATTTTGCACCCCGGCCCTTTGGTCTTTGAATTTTAAGATTTTTCATCCCCCAATCTACAGGTCATGGCTTCACCATGACTATACTAATTTTAGTCTGGCAAGCGTATATATGGGATTGAATATCCTATGGAAAACTGCTTTAGTGCCCATATCATAATGTATTCGTGCCTGGTTAGAATCACGCTTTGAATTACGTGTGAAAACATGATTTTGAATTGATACAGACAACAAAAATATTGTTGATGCTACGTACTAAAACGTGATTTTGATAGTTCCAACCACATTCTTTGAGATCCATGAAGCTATGTTTAACAGCACCACCTCAAACCTGCTAAATATTTGTCTGACCATTTGGAATAAACTTGTTGAGAGACAAATGAAACAGATCATGCATGCACCGGACCTATTAATCATGTGCAGTATATATATATATATATATATATATCATGCACTGACGGGAAATGGTCGATGCTTTTCAACTATTTATCGATCAGACTTAACAGTAAAGATTCTTGTTGGATATCAAAATAAAGGAGCTGATTTTGCCAGCCCGAGAAAAAGTCAGTGTTACGTGAAATGACACAAAACTGGAGCAATCTCTATTTGAGGTAATCTAGCTAGCACGTGACATGCTAGCTGGCTGTACAACCAATGTGATTTTTCCTCCACATGTTAGCAACGTATTAAATATCATTGAAACGTGTTTTGCACGAATTTTAAAATACGTAGCAACTTATACGTAATATGGTTTTGTTATAAATTTCACTGTATCTTGATATCGATGATTATATGAGGAGCCATTTCCTCATGTTGGTCTTTACGCGTCCACTATACACTTTAAAATCTAATTGCATCAAAATATGGCCAAAAAAGTAATTATAAAATGATATTCTCCGATGTCTGCAACAATATTAGTGGAATTTGTATATTTTTCATTTTGATGCACTATTTTCTTTATTTTTTTTTTACCTCGACTCCCTCTTTATAGCAAAGCCGTTCGCTACTCGTATATTCTTGCACTTGGATTTTTTAAAAGGAAACTCAACAATAGAGAAATGTGATCTAATTGCACCCAACTATGCAAGGTATAGTAAAAAAAAAACAAATGGTAAAAGTACATTTTTATTACTCGTATTTAACTTACACACACAATGTTATATTTCATTTTTGTAATGGCTTTTTATCAGTTCTTTAAAAAATGGTAAATTTAGGCCAGCAAAGAATTGAGTTGAATTGCATGCAAATTCATGTCTTTGAACAAAAACTAATAAGCCCGTGGCTGAGAAATTATAGAAGCTTAATGGTAGAGCTAACGGACCTGATTGTATATCTATCGAAGCGTGGAAATGTTTGGGTGAAGAAGGGGTGAGATGGTTAACTAAGTTATTTAATGTGATTTTACGGTCCAAGAAAATGCCTGATGAGTGGAGGAGAAGTACATTAATTCCTATTTATAAAAATAAAGGAAATATTCAGAATTGTACTAACTATAGAGGGATTAAACTCATGAGCCACACAATGAAATTGTGGGAGAAAGTAATTGAGCACAGGTTGAGATTGGAGACAAGTATTTCTGAGAATCAATTTGGTTTTATGCCAGGTAGATCAACTACAGAGGCGATTTATCTACTAAGGGGATTAATGGAAAAGTATCGTTGTAAAGATAAAGATCTACACATGATTTTTATTGATTTGGAAAAAGCTTATGACCATATACCAAGAGAAGTGCTTTGGAAAGTGTTGGAAAAAAAAGGGAGTACGGATTGCTTATATTAAAGCCATACAAGATATGTATGAGGGGGTAAAAACTAGTATAAGAACGCTTAGTGGTCAAACAAAGGATTTTCCTATAAAGATTGGACTACATCAGGGATCATCTCTGAGTCCTTATTTGTTCAACTTGATTTTAAATGTTTTGACGGAACATATTCAAGAGGAAATCTCGAAATGTATGCTCTTCGCGGATGATATAGTTCTTATAGCAGAGACAAGAGAAGAGGTTAATTGCAAACTTGAGTTATGGAGGAGGACATTGGAGTCGAAAGGTTTTCGTCTGAGTAGAAGTAAGACGGAATATTTATATTGTAAATTTGATAAAGGACTATTCGAAAATAATTTGGAAGTGAAATTGGGAGATCAAATTATACCTCAAGTGGAAAAGTTTAGATATTTGGGAGCCATTATTCAAAATGATGGCGAAATCAGTGGAGATATTTCACATAGAATTCAAGCTGGGTGGTTTAATTGGAGAAAAGCTAAAGGAGTTATTTGTGACCGTAAGGTGCCTAATAAACTTAAAGAAAAGTTTTATCGTACTGCTATCAGACCGGCAATGTTATATAGTAGTGAATGCTGGGTAACGGGACAGCAAGAGCATAAAGTTGGAGTAGCAGAGATGAGAATGTTACGATGGATGTGCGGACATACACGTAAAGATAAAATTCAAAATGAGCACATATGTGAAAAAGTGAGGGTGGCACCTATTGAGGAAAAAATGGTAGAAAATCGGTTGAGATGGTTTGGGCATGTACAAAGAAGATCAAGGGAGGCACCAGTGAGAAGAGTGGAACATATAACTTTGAGTCCGATTAAGAGAGGTAGAGGAAGGCCTAAGAGAACACTTTTGGAAGTTGTTGAACGTGATCTCTTAATTAATAATATTTCTAAAAGCTTAATAAATGATAGAGCACAATGGCGTCTTGCAATCCATGTAGCCGACCCCACTTAGTGGGATAAAGGCTTGTTGTTGTTGTTGTTGTTGACGTTATAATTATAAGAGT